AATAGAGTGGGGGAACTATAACGTCAGAACCCTGAAGAGTAATTCACTGTGGGTTCCTTCTAGGTTTTCCTATGGGGTTTTATAATGGGGTTTTTCAATTAAAATAAAGCCTGTGGTAAACATAACTTGACGATACTTTTACGTTTTGTTGTACAATGTAAATTACACACATCCATACCCAAAATACAAATTTTTTAGCAGTTATGTTCATTTTTGAAAACGTATGTTTTTAATAAGTAGCTAGATAAGAAGGTTTAGGCTGTGAGTGTGTGCCGTTTATAATGTAGAACAAAATGTAGAAGTATTGTCAAGTTTTACCACAGGCTTTATTTTATTCATAAATTGAAAAAAAAAACATTGGAAAATCTCAAAGGAACTCGCGGCGAATTACACTTCCTGGTTCTGACGTCAGTTCCCCCACTCTATTTCAGATCTATTAATGCACTTAATACTTACATGTCATGTCCTGAAGAACAGTTCTCCTCACACACGTACACTGGGAGAGTATGTTGACATGTAAATGTTAAACAAGCAGGCCAACTTTATTTTATATACAATGAAGACAGTGATGGAGGTAGTTAGTGTTTGTGAATCTGCACTCACCTGAAGATCAAACATTTCGAATGTCATGCAGCATCTGTGAAATCTTGCTGGTGTGTGCCACTTTCTCTGATATGGTGAAACTCAGCACAAACCTAGAAAACCACAAACACGCAAAAGTAAGTGTATAACCAACAATGGATGTAGAAAAGAGAAAGCTGAGTCTGTGTCCTGTTATGTGAGGACCCATCACACAACTTGCTCTTCAACTGAATAGAAGTTACCTTAAGTGTTGAGGCTCACTCTTTTGTATTCAGCATCCAGCTCAGCCTGCAATTAAAGAAAGTTTGTAAAGGTTTACAAAAGTTTGTAGATTGCTTTTGTAAAATAAATATATTGCAAAATCCATGTCTGTGTATTAGGTTTAACCTAATTTTGGATTAATACTCTTAGCAGCTAGTTGTTTAAAAACAGACCAAATAAAAATCACATTTACCAGGGCATTTTCCAAAAAAAGCATTGTATGGCTAAGATGATCGTAGAAACATTTGCCACCAAATGGTCTCAACAATCGACTTAGCTCACGATGCTTTTGAGAAACGCAGCCCTAAACATTGCAGTTAACCGCAGCGACATTCAAAACGTACATTAGGACTGCGTTTACTGAAAACATGCCGGCTAACGTTAACATTAGTGCCCTTCTTTGATGCTAACATTATACTATAAGCAGTAACGCTAAATAGCATTCCGAATGCGCATTCAAAAGCACTAGGGAAATGCCGCACTTTACAGCGCTGTGTAAAACAGCGTTTCCCAAAAATGAAAACATTCCTTTATCATGATATTCTTACAACACTCAAAAACCAAATAAGACATTTTCACAGTTGTTTTGATTTACTTACAAGTTGTTCCATTAAGTTTGCTCTGGTCGCTTGCGTATTGTTGTAATGTATCAGAGTTTGCTCACACTTACCTGGGTGAAAAACAAAACCGGATGTGTGCAACAGTTCGTATTTGTTATTGTTGTTGATTGTCACCGTTTTTGAGATTCATATGCTCATATTATCAATGTCTTTGTCTTAATGGTGCATGCCTGCGTGTGTGTGTGTGTGAGTAAAAAATTATAGCTGATTCTCTGGTCTTCTTACTGTAGTCTCACAGTGGTAGTAGAAATCAGACCATGAATGGGATCACTGAAAATTAATTTTCCTTGAAGCTCACAAAGATTGATACCAACACATAGTTATCAGCTTATCACAGTTTTTCTTGACTTGTTTTGCCATATCGAATGTGTTTAATAAACACAGTTCCAGTCCCCCTTTCCCTCGTCGGGCCCTTGGAATCGTTCTAACCTTTACTCTAATCATCATTGCTTCTAGAAGTGCTCAGTATCCTGGTATATGTGTGTGAATATTCTGTTGCACCAGGACCGCAAAGTATTTAATTTGAAGCAGGAGATACAGGAGTAGTAGCTTATTTTGCATCAGATATAAGTCACTACTCACAGCTGATTGGTATAGTGTGGTAGATTTTAGAAAGATGATGCACCAGTGACAGTTTTTCTATTTTTTTCCTGAAAGTGCAGTAGAAATCAGACTATGTGTAGGATCAATGCATTGCTATCACAGATTTTTTTTTTTGGTTTATTTTACCATAATAATTGTGTTTTATAAACATACAAGAACAAAAGAAAATCTGACATAAGAAGTGAAGGGTCAAGATGCTAACTAAAGCAAACACCAACCACCATAACGGTGACTTCAAAATTAATTATTATTTTCATTAAAACATCAACATCTAAACCTCTGTTAATCTCAGTAAGAACTTTTGTAGACATATAATAAAGTCAAATTGGTTTATAAGTGAAGACGGTAATGCTGGTTTTGGAGTTGTTTAATAAGCGATTTTGGACTTTTCAGTTTAAAGCCATGTTAATTGCAGCCCTACATGGTCTCTGATTGAAAGAAGTCAAAGCAGACATGATTTACTGTCATCGAATCCTGCTGTACATAAAGAAAAGTAGATCTAATGTTGTTTCAATGTTGCTTCAAAGTAAAATAAGTGATTTAATTTGAACAAAGATTGATTTAATCTCCATCGTTATCTATTTTTCATTCTTGAAATAATCTTATTTCAAGGTGCAAATGTGATAAAAAAAAAAATCAATGTTAAATTCCAACATTAATTCATTTTTCTTTGCTAAGTCGTTTTTTTTTTATTAATATTATTGTTGTACTGCAGTGTAATTTATCTGCAACCAAAATGTAAAGTTGTGAAATGTTATAATGTGTCATGCTTGCATGGAAATCTGAAAAACTAAAGTGAAACCTTTGTGAATAACTGTCTTCACATACGATCTCAAACAGTTGACAGTAACTGGTTCAGATCATACAAACCAGTCTGGGGAGTATCTCTGTTATTCACAACAACACCTTACAAAGTACATAGCCCGTAGAGATCAGGATCCCATCACATATGTAGAAGTCGATGTATGCCCTCTTATATTTCTGCTCCATGTGGATTGCTGCAAAGCTTTGAATTAAATATCACTTTGGATATAAAGACAGCAGCAAGATCGGCTATCAGCTGCTACTTACTTGAAAAAGATTGTATTCACAGACTGCAAGGTGTGTATGTATTTTCTGTGGGGTGAATAGCTCACTTGTCTGATGTTGAATTATTATTATTATTATTGTTTATTTATTTATTATTATTATCATTTTCTAATGTTCTTCTAATCCACACAAACTACTGTAGAATTAGGGACGAATTTTTGTTTGTGCAGCTTGTTGAGATGTTACAATGATTCGTAAAAAACTTCTGGATAAGATACCACTGCCTCATTCTAATAATGCATGGTATTATGTAACGCTTTTCAGTTAATAATGTATTGTTCCAATAATTGGGGTTTGTTATGATTATATTTGTTTGATTTTATAAAAACTCAAAACAGGGTGATGCAATTACCCTTATCAAATGAAATATTTCTATCTGTCTGGCCATTAAATATCTATTTTTGGGATCAGTATTATTTTAAACCATGCACCATTCATTTTGTTTCCACAGATTATATCGGTCCAACCCACTGCTATCTTGAAACATCCATTTATACAACAAGAGAATTGTTTCGTCATGACATTTTCAAAGCATTGCGTGAGGTATCTGTCTATCTTACTTTGAGCAATGAGTTTAAAAAACACATCTGATGAAATAGGACACAGGTGCTAATATGAAAAAGGTAGTAATATGTACACTGTAATTTTTTATTTTAAGTTTACTCAGAATAGCTTTATGAAAATAAGGTGAACTTGATGTCTTCAATATCAAAGTTCATGTAACTTAATTATTTGACTTATTTTTTTGCACTCAGTTAAGTTGTAATGAATTATTTTCAACTTATTTCAGTCAACAACTTTTTGATTCCCATTTAAATCCCATTTTAATATAAATTAGTGCTGTCAAACAATTAATCGTGATTAATCGGATCCAAAATAAATGTTTTTGTTTACATAATGTATGTGTGTGTACTGTGTATATTTATTATGTATATATAAATACACACACATGCATGTATATATTTAAGAAAAATATATACATGTACATATTTTCAAAATATATTCTGTATGTGTGTGTATTTAAATATACATAATAAATATACACAGTATATACACACATACAGTGTCAGGATTGGACTGTCTTTGTGTTTTGCTCCCTGTGTGCTCCCCATGACCCAGTTTCTCCCTCATGTGCCCTTATTTGTTCGTTCCTGTTCCTGTCCTCGTTGTCTCATAATTTGTCATTCTGTTCACCTGTGTTCCTCCCAATTCCCTCCTTATCCTTATCCCCATCCCTAGTCTGTTCAGTCTGTGTTTGCCGGGTCTACCAGTTGTGTATGATTTACCCTGTGTGTTGGATTGATTAAAAGACAGTTTCGCTTATTCACAGCTCCTTCGTGTATCGTGACACAGTGTGTATAGAAAAGAATCACCTCCCTTTAAAATAATCACGTTGCCTGAAATGAAGACAGACACATCTTTTGTTTTATGCAGCTGTATTTACTCAGTGAAAATTATAACAGCCAAGTGAAAGATATAAAACCAACATGTCAGAGAAAAAAAAAAAGTTTAAAAACAGAATCACTGAGTTGGAAAAAGTACAGCAGGGCTGCAGTCTTCAAGTCATTTCACAGATTGTCAGTCTGGGCTCTGACTAAGCCATGCGCCTTCTTCTCCTTCAACCACTGTGTGATCAGTTTTGCTGTGTGCTTTGGGTCATTGACAACTTTCTGGCAGAAGGCAGCAGATTTTCCTCAAGAATTTGATGGTATTATGCCTCATTCATTTCTTCTTCTATCCTGACATGTGCTCCAGTCCCTGCTGCACAGAAACACCCCATAACAGGATATCACCACCTCCATGCTTTACTGGAGGGATGTTATCTGGATGGTGAGCTGAATTGGACTTCCGCCAGACATTACGTTTGGTGTTGAGGCCAAACAATTCAATTTTAGTCTCATCTGACCAGAACACCTTTTTCCATGTGGCCATCTTTTCCAAAGCTCAGTCGTGACGGCATGTGGCCTTTCTTTTTTCCATATAAGCTACATTTGTGGAGAATCTGTGATATTGTTGTCACATGCACACAATGATCACTCTTTGTCATAAATTCCTGCAGCTGCTTCAGAGATGCTGTAGGTCTCTTGGTTGCCTCTCTGACCGGTTTCCTCCGGCTCTTTCATCCAGTTTGGAGCGACATCCTGATTCAGGGAGGGTCTGTGTTGTACCAAATACCTTACACTTCTTCATAACAGACTTCATTGTGCTTCTAGTCACTGATAAAGCCTTTGCAATTGTTTTGTATCCATCTACTGACTTGTGCCTGTCCACAGCTTTATCCTGGAGATCTTTTGACAGGGTCTTGCCATCCATAGTTGATAGTTTGCTTCAGTTGCTCTACCAAGGACTGAAATGCTGCAGTAAAAGCTATTTTCATGCTGAAACTAATCAATATGACCACAGCTGATCACAGTTGAAAGTCAAATGACTTTGTGTGCCACTGAGAATGTGATTTGCTACAACTGACTGCTACAAATCATTTTTAGGAGGGGGGTGATCCTTTTTCCAGCTCAATGATTGTTTTTGTTTTTTTCTAACATGTTGGTTTTATATCTTTCACTTGGATGAAAGATATTAAATACAGCTGCATAAAACAAAAACTGTGTTTGTCTTCACTTCAGGCTGCAAAGCAACAAAATGTGATTATTTTAAAGGGGGTGATTCCTTTCTCTACCCACTGACACACACTATATATATATATATATATATATATATATATATATATATATATATATATATATATATATATATTGCAACAGTTCTTTTAACCCAAACTGATGCAGTCTGTAGCTTATTATTTCTCAAAAAACCATGTCAGAAGACGTACACATGTACATAATGCAGCGTGTCAATGTTAGTATTCATCAGGCTCAAACTGTGAAAGATGTGCTTGTGAAAGAAATCAACTTTATTCTGCCTATCCAAAAAAAAAAAAAACTCTACAAAATACTCTTACAAACTCTAATATTTTGTTAGACCACCTTTAGCTTTGATAATATTGTGCTTTCATTGTGGCATTGTTTCAACAACATCGTGAGTCATAACATTTATTTCCACCAAGAGCTGCATTCATTTTTGGCCAAGATCTTGTTTTAACAATGGGGGCATTGCACCACTCTGTAAAGTCGACTCCAGCACATCCTCAAGACTTTCAACAGGGTAAAGGTTAGGATTCTGTGGTGAACAATTTGTGCATAAAAATGACATTTCACAATTTATTCAGAAATACAAAGCTACATACTGCATCAGTTAGGGATTAAAAGAACTGTTGCAAAACATAAACATGCCAGAAACATATTCATCACTGCAA